TGGTTCTGAGAGGTTGTGCCCGACATAAGCCTTTTTCGTGCTATTGGTATTGTCCAGTCGAACGGAATCAAGATCTTCTACGGTTGCTTTGCAAACTTCTATGACGTCCGGGTCTTTGATGGCTTCTACTTGTGCGTCGGGTTTGGTTCTCGACACGGCTAATTGTTATACCTATGCACTTGCCCCTTTTAGTTGTGTGGTGTGTGTGCAATCTTGGGATATCCGGTAGCATTCTTGGGCGGTGCATGGCTCGCCTAGGATGCTGAATATCCCCCATAGGGTGGGGAATTGATTACTTGATAGAAACTTGACGGGACGGCGTGCATGGCGTGTATCCATGGTCGTCCTATGATGGCATTGTAGGTTGTTTCTTGGTTCATGACGTGGAATGTCGTTTCCAGGGTGACTCCTCCTGCCAGGACAGGCAGCATTTCCCCAGAGGTTCGTTCCACTATATTATTAAAACCCGTTAGTGTTATTCAACGCGGTATTATTATTTCCTCAAGCCTCATCTGCGTGAGAACTCGTAGGTGAACAATACACGTGCCGCTTTCGTCATCCACCATTATTCTTTTTACATCGGTATCCGCGATGCGTAAAGTTATAACTAAAGCATCATATTGAGGGAAAGACAAACTGTCGGTATCCGACTTATCGAAGATGATACTGTCTTCGAGGTCGTCATACTGTTCGTGGGCAACCGTCCGTTTGAGTTTACGTGTGGTGGTGAATTTAACATGGTTGATTATCGTGTCATCGCCGCCGCCGATGATCATTTGTATGGTGCGAGATGGTGATGGTGACTTTGGAGGTCCTTGAGGTTGATCGCGTCCACGAGCGAAGTTGACCCTTCCTCGGTTGCTTAGCAGTTCTTTCAGGTATCCCTGGTTCGGCATTCTTACCACTTCTTGTCGCAGACCTATGCAATCTTCGGTATTGTGTCCTCTTTCCTGGTGGAATTCATATAGAACGTTCGACCTCCTAGTGCTCGGATCCGACTTCATCTTTTGCGGCCATTGCACCTTTGTTCCGAGCTTTTCCAGTGTGTACACTATTTATGAAGGAGAGACACAAAAGTTATGAGCAGATAACAGTGGAGGCATACCTCTTTCATTTCGGGGGGG